AATCCAGCATACTTTCTTATTAATTGTCATATGTCCAGCACTGTGTTACCTCAGAACTTCCCGTACGTGTGAGAACACTTGAAATTCCTTGCTGAGGGATGAGAACTAAATCTTGCATCTATACCAAGAGCTGATGTAAAACAATGCATTGCCCAGGTATGCAACACCCTTAGGGGTATCATCTGTGTGGTGCTGACTGCCCCAAGTTACAAAAGGTGAGAAAAATCAATTTACTCTGCTTCAGGTGAGGTAGAGAGAGCTCATTACAAGCTGTGGCAGAAATTCTAGTGCAAGGGCAAGATCAACAGCATTTTACCAGAGGAAGGAGCAATTTAACATTTATCAGAGAATGCTTTCAGGCTTTTACTTTTGTAACCCTGACAGAAGAAGTGATATTTGAAATGACTAAATCACAGTTCCAGGCACAGTGTCCATAATGAAGGCATGAAACGCTTACAGGAGAGTCATTTACATTTGCAGTCTCTGAACGTGTTATTGTTGGGAAAAATATTCACTGCTTGAATAATCAATGCACTTTTTAGCAAGCAGTGCATAAGGATTACTTTTAGCCTCTTGAAAAAGAGAAGCAATTAGTTATTTTCATTCCCAATGTTCTGCTGCAAATGATTTTCTTTCCCAGTTGAAGGTGGCCAGTTCTGGGTGCTGAAGTGCTGACTTGACTAGCAGTCCCTTGGAAGTGTTCTCTGAAAGCCTAACAGCGTGGGAATTTAATTATGAAAATAAATTTAAAATAAAAAATAATTTAATTTTAATACATATTTAAGGTATTAATTGAAGTGTTATCATTATTTAAATTACTCAGAAGAGTCAACACTTTTTTGTACTGCCACCAGTGCAGAAATGAACACAGTTCCAGTGATTTTGAGGTGATCCCAGCACTTTAGCCTTTAACCCAGCACTGGGAAAACTTCTGGAGTGGAATTTCAATAACCTTGACTGAATCTCACTGAAGTGGACTTTTATTCTTTGTGTTTGTCTGTTAGTCATATAGTCTGCAAACCATGTTCCAAACAGCCACATGTTTACCAGCTGGATTTTAACCAAGATTTAAGCTAGTAAAATCTTCTTACTCTGTGTTAAGTCTGAACATGAATGTGAAAAATTGCTTGAAATGGTTTTAATGTATGTGTTTGACACAGCTGGGTTTTTGCCTATCTCAGTCTTATTTTCATTTCACTGTGTTTACTATGATGTAATAGCATAATTAATTTTTTCCTCAAATCTTACCATGTCTTTATTATAGTAAAATTTGCCACTTTTTTCTCAGCTTTTTCCATAGTAGACTTTGAACTAACAGACCCTTGAGAATGGGACTGTATCAATTTATTCTTGCTGCAGGTGAAGCCTGTTTTACACAAATGGATTAAATATTAAGTGAAACGTGCATGCATTGTTCTGAAATAATTACCTTATTTCACAGTAAATTTCATTTTCCGTCTGTAAAGGCCTGTTAATGTTTGTAATTTGAAAGGAAAAAAAAGTAATATAATTTCAAGTATTGAAAGATCTGGAGAAAGTCTCCAGTAATTATCTAAGCAGTTGGGAATGGCTGCTATAGATTTATAAATAAAACTGTGGGTTGAAAAGCCAAGAAGAGCCTTGATGTGAAAAACAGTCACTATTTTGCCAAATACAAGGACTCAGGATTAAATCCCATTCAAACACAGTAAGGATGGTGGATGGATCTCAGGTGTGTTGATGTCAGAATTCCATTGAATTCTCCCAGGTGGCCCTGACATCCTAAACAGTTGATTTTTTTCTCTTTTACCCCTAAGCAAATCTGTTTTAAATACTTGTGTCAAGGAGGGGTGGCTTCCTTGCTCAACAACCTTAACCTTGATGGAGGTTTGAATTTCAAGGCCCCTGAAGGTCTCCTGATTTCAGATAATGGGAAGCCTTTGTGTAGTGAGTTCCAATTCAGGGCAAGCACCAGAGCCCTGAAGGGATATTTTATTGTTAATAACAGTGACCCTGTGCATGGTGGCATTAAAAGCTTCAGGGAAGCTCCAGTTCTCTTCTGGTTTTACTTTTGATACATAGATGCTTTTTGACTAGCTTTTACCTGTTTTTCATTTGGAAAACCGTGGTTCTCGTTTATAAAAAAACTTTGTGGCTGTTTTGCTGTGGCCTCCAAGTCCCCAAAATGTGTGCTGTGTGCCTCAGAGCAGGTGTTTGTATTCCAGCTCATGAAAAATATCCTTTTGCTTCCCATTTCTGGAAGTGCTGATGGCACTTGTCCAGCTCAGTAGGCTCAACCTGCAGGCATTATGTAGACTTTTACTTTTAGCTGCTTTTGTATAGTTTAAGTGCTTACTTTTTGTGTGTTGGTCTTCAAAATGATAAATTAGAGGGTTTTTTTGCAGCCTTTTCTCCTGGGAGTTCAGCTCAAGGCATAGTGAGTGGTAGTCTGTGCTCTTGGACAGTGTGGTTGCTGGGAAGAAAAGGAGAAGACATGTGTAAAAATAAACAGTGGGCATCTGGGAATTGGAGAGTTCTCTCCCAGTTTGGGGTGTTCCCTTTGGGTACCAACCAGCTGGAAATTCCACCAGACTGATGCTGAAAGTTATTTTCATTTTGTTACTTGAGT